GGGTGTCACTGGGATGTCAAATCCAGCCTGGAGACTGGGATTAAAAGTTAAAAAAAGAAAAGTTAGAAGCACAAATTGCTCCTTCCTTTAAAATGTGGGGAAGCTGCATCCCTCCTGCCTCCTTCCCTGCCCTGCAAAGGGCTGAGGGGAAGAAGAAAATCATTAAATCTGTCCAGCAGAGCCTATAACTGGCTTTTATGGGCTGTTTTCCCAGAGGTGTAGTGGGTTTGGGTCGGGTGGTGATGCTGCAACTTGGAGATGCTCAGGCTTTATTTCCAGCCTGGTACCTTAGAGATGGGACAAAACTGCTGGGGAGGGGACAGAAACGCTGCCGAAGCAGAGGGAACGATGGCTGCTGCTGGCGAGGGCTTAACCAGGGGTGCAGGGCTGAGCAGGAACGACCTTCCAGTGGTGCTGAGAGTTTTGCAGCCCAAAGGTGGGGTGCTGGGGTCCCTTGTTGGGGATGCTGGGGTCCATCGGCGGGATACTGGTACTTAGTGAGATGCTGGTCCTTGGCCCCGCGGCGTGATGGGTGATGACAGCAACCTGTGTGACGCAGGAGGAGGAAGGCGAGGGGGCGATGGAGCTGGGTGGTCACAGGAGCCAGAGGTGATGGGGTGCTGGTGGAGGAAGGGGTGGCCAGGGTCGTCTCTGGGGGGGTTTGGGGTGATGAAGCAGGTGGGGCTTGTGCTGGAGAAAATGTGTGATGGTGTGGGGGGGGGGGGGGGAAAAGAAGTTTTTTGGGGATTGGGGGGGAAGTTTATCGCTTCTGCTGAAACTCGCTGGGAGGGATAACGGCACATAGCCTCTCTTGTGGTTTTGGGCTTGGAGGATGGAGCGGCACCAGTGCTGGAGGAGGTTCGGGGGGGGGAAGGCTGGCACGATGGGGGCTGCTTGTGATGCCCATCCTGCCTGGAGCAGAGATGTCTGCTGGGATGAGAGCTTGTGCAATTATTTTTTCTTCTTTTTTAAAAAATAAAAGCAAATAAATAATCGTAGCTTTCCAAGGCTGTATTTGCCCAGCACACGCTTGAATTACGTTGAGGTCCTTTCCCAGCGCTGTTAGAGCATCTCCCCGCTGAGATGAGCCAGAAAATAAGGACAATGCCCAAGTAAAAACCAAACTGTGTCCTTCAGGAACATCACTGCTGTGTAATTAGGTGTGTTTTAATTATCAGCTTGCAGAAGGAGAAAGTTTGCTGTAAGGCTTTAATATGCTCAGCACCAAGATCCCCCCCCATGGCTCCCCAGGCTGGCTTTGAGGGGGAAATATTCTGTAAAGTATTTGGAGAATAATTTGTTCTCAGTTATTTATAATTTTACACTATTTAATATTTTATTTTATAGTTGCTCTCAGTTATATATATTTATGTAAAATTGTTAATAGCCCCTTGTGGGAGCTGTGGAGCTCGTACCGATCTTACGCATATCACAGGGAAATAATAAATTACTTAGCAAGGTATTTTTTAATGCTGTGTGTTTGTGGATATAAAGAAGTGGCCATGAGTGCTCTAATGTACGAGTTGTTCATGTAACTTGTTTGTCATGGAGCCGACGAGTTTTTTCCATAGTTAGGAATTGTGATTGAAATAAGGATTTCTGATTCTGCAAGTGAGTGTACTGGAAAATTAGGAAAATAGTAGTAAAGTAACTGTCAGCAGTGGAGAGGGGGGATCATGAGGGACTGCAATTAAATCATCTTCTACCTGTGATGTCCCATCTTCATAAATAGTAGTATCGCTCTTAGAAAATTAGCCTCACTGAAAGTATTCCCATTTCAAGTACTTTTTGATTTATGTTAAATTTAACCCTTTAATTCAATAAAACAAGCCCTAGGAGGCACTGCCTTGCAAATAGCATCATCTCTGGGATGTGACCCCTGTCCCAGCGGGGATGCGGGCTCCTTCCCCATCCTTGAGCGATGCACACGTGTGTGTGTGCGCGCGCACGTGCGCACACGCGTGTGCACAGTTGGTACACGTGTGTTTCTGCTCCTCTGGGCTGGCAGGGCTGAGGGTGACCCGGCAACGGTGCGGCATCGTCCCCAAAGCCACAGCATCCTCGGCAGCCTCCTGACTCCCCCTCACTCCCCACGCGCCCCAGGGCTGAGCCCCCCGCACCTCGCAGCACCCCCAGCGATGTCGGTGGCTGTCCCAGTTCCCCTCCATCAGTTTGGCCGCTCGTAGCATTTCCTTGTCCTCTCCAAGAAATCCCGATTTGGCACTGGAACAGGCTGGTGTTTCGCAACATGCCGGGAATTGCCATTTGCCCGATATAATTTGGCATTTATAGACCATTGGTGCACACGTGGCTTCAAAAAAAGGTCTCAGGCGCTGGCTTATTTCTGGGGGTGTGGTGCTGCCGGTGGCAATGCCGGATGCCGAGTCGGGGATCCCCCCTGGGATTTGGCACCCTGGCTCTCGAGATGGTGCTGAGCCCTTGTGCGTGGGGATACGTGATTAAATACAGCATTTCCGCTGCTGGGGGGGTGCTGTGGTTTAGGGTAACCTGGCTGAAAGTTTGTTGGAGAAACCCCTAAATCTGTTGCAAGCAATGAGATGCTTTTAGAAATTAAAAAAAAATTTAAATAAATCTTAAGTTTGTTTGTTGAATTTATTCTGGAGAAAAGGCTAAATTGGAGCAGACTTGGCAAACAAGGCATTTCTTGTTTATTCCCATTTTGTATTTATTTTAGTTCCCCCAAGCTGTCTCTTAAAATCGAATTTCTTGGTGTTGGTGTAGCTGCTGCCAGGAGGATGCTCTGAACCACCCGTGGAAGGGTTGAGCTTTACCGGAGTGTGCTGTATGGGGAGGGGAACTTCACGTTTAACAGCCAGAGGTGGAATATTTCTTTCCAGTGTCCCAAAAAGCCTGGCTGGGTCTGTTCTCCCTGGTTGTTTTGACCAGTGGAGAAGACACGATGAAAGGAGCCTGCTCATTTTCGATGGCAAAAAAAGCAGTTAGAGGGTGCCAAGGAGTGGGTAGTGGGATGTCAAGTACTTTCTCACTTTTTAAAGATGGTTTATATAACCTGCTTGGCTATATTATTATATTTTTTTTTCCCCTCCAGTTACATAATCCTAACTTATGAAAGCATTAGGAAATTGCATTCCCCGCTGTTATGCGAGTGTCTGTATATAATGGCCTCTGAGCTTGTTAGGATGCTGTGCTTGGCCCCTCTGCCAGCCATTTCCCGAGAAGCTCAGGCAGATGTGGAACAGCTATTTATACGCTTTTTTCTTTTTTTTTTAATTTATTTATTTTTATTTTTTTTTTACCATCATCCGAGGCTGTGTCAGCCCCTCCAGGAGCGGGATGGGTGCAGGCTGGTGCCTGTCCCTGCTGATGGAGAGCAGAGGCTTCGCTGCCAGCTCCAGCATTCCTGTTTTTTCCAGTATTTTCAGGACATGCTGCTTGTGGCAGAGGCTTGTTGTGATTTTTGTGGTGCGAGCAGCTGAAATCCTTGCTGGGGCTGTGGACGGCTTTGGGGGCAGGCGGGGTAGGAACATCGGTGTGTAAAACCCTTGACCGCATCCCATCCCTGGCACCTTCTTCCCTTGAAAGAGCAAAAACCCATAAATGTTTATGGCTTTTTCTTTCCTCAGTATATGTTTGTCTTTTGGAATACAGGAGGGGAAGAAAAAAATATTGCTTGGGTTTTGTCCGTTTCACATTAAAGCGGGGGGCATTGTGTCTCTGGGTACCTGTGCTGGAGGGGATGGACCATGGGCTGCTGATGGGATGCTCGCAAGAGGGTCGAGTCCAAAGGAGCTTTATCCCTGCGATTTCTTATTTTGAAACAACCTGGAAAAAACACCGAGCAAGCCTTTCCTCGTTGGTGCTTTGCTAGATAATCAGCAAAAGAGCCAGATTATTTTTAATGGGTTTATATTGTAAACTGGAAGCAAAAAAAACCCCAACCTTTCTGAAAGTCTTTTGCATGTCACTGGTGTGAGTGTCCTCGCCCCACTCCCTGGGGATGCAGACAGGCTGAACCCATCTTGCTTTCTGTTGAAATATTTATTCTGGCAGGGAGCAGTGAGCCATCCTGCTCACTTGTTCCTTTTGCTGCAGCTGAAACTTGAGCGCAGCCTCTTATTCACATATTTAAAAAAGAAAAAAAAATTAGTTGTGACTTGGATCTTAACTAAAACCACTTCAGAAGCTTAAAAATATTAGCTAGGCAAAATGATTAAGCAAGTGTGACGGGAACACATACCGTTGTATTTAAGTTAGCCACGTGCAGTAGTTTCCTTTTCTCTCCCTTCGTTATTCTCTTAATTGCTTAAAAACCTTCCTTTGCTGCTGCTCTTCTGTTAATAACACTGATACCTTCTAGCCCTTGGGAGGTGATCGGTGACTGTGTCCTTCTCCGGGGTGTCCCTGTGGGCGGGTGGCACCGGGATGCTCGGGGGGTACCAGGGTCTCCATGGGCAGAAGGAGGTAACCCTGGAGCAGCAACTGGCTGCGGATAAAGGAGACCAGGGAGTTTGCTTCTGTCCCCGGTTTACCCTGGGCGCGATGGAGGTTTGTCAGGGTGCTGGGCAATTAAAGCAGCTCTGTTTTCGTTTTGTTTTTTTGTTTGAATAAAAGTTGCCATGACTGGCCCGTCGGGATGTTAGCTGCTTGCACAACGTGCACGCTAAGAAGTAAATCAATCCATGTGAGTCTTATTCAGCTAGTGATAATTTAAATTTTATGGCTTCCCCGTTTATTTTAAAGGATGGGGGAAAATGTCAAGTGGCCAGGATTTAAAAAAAAAAAAAAAGTTATTAATTTTTAATTCAAACTGTGGTGTATGAGTGTGAAAAATAGCACTCAGTGTCTGGGTGCATCCTTATGTGTTGGAGTGGAGCTGAGGATTACGTGGAGCTGCCTTGTTGGGCTTAAGAAGGTCGTATTTTCTTAGATATTCTGATTTTAATTTATTACCAACTCAAACGCTGTCTCCCTGGGTCTCTGCTCTGCAGGCTGGTGTTGCAGGCGTCTTAAAACACCCTCACCTGGGGAAAATCGCTGCTCTGGTCTTCCCTGTCTTGCTGCACAGGGACGGTTCGCTCAGTAAGTAGCTATTTTATTAGAAAAAATAGTTTTCTCGATCGAGGGGGAAGTGAAACCACGGTGGGACAGTGGAGAGAGCCCAGCTGCTGCGCTAATGGGGTCGTTCTTTGATTTGGGGTGATGGTGACCAGGGTTCGGGGCCCCATGTCTCTCCCCTGTGCATTTAGACTTGCTGGTTTTTAGCCTGACCTTTGCATTTTGAAGAAACTCCCTCCCATGTTGCAATCTGGAGCTTTTTAAGGCTGTTGTGGTGCCCTGGAAGTGAAAGCGCTTTGTGCTAAGTGGGTCTTAAAAAACAAACCCCTGAGCAGTCAGCTCTTATTTTTCCATCCTGTTAATTTTCATCCTGACTTTCAGCAACGGTCAATAAAAAAGTTGGACAGAATATAGTCTTCCCCCCCGCCCCCCCCCTTTTTTTTTAAGCTGATGATAAGATGCTGAACGCTGTTTTATGGAAACAGCGAGTCAAAGCATCTTCCCGTGGCTGTGGGCAGTAGAGGAGCTGCCACAGGAGGTTTTGTCCATGGTCTTATCACCCCTTTCTGAGCATGGTGGAGCGTGGTCTGTGGCTTAAAACCACCATCTCAGTTCTCCTTTCTTCTTAAATCCTGTTTTAGAATACAGCACATGTGTTTTTTTATTTTATTATTTTATTTTTAATTTCTTTTTTTTTCCCCTCTTCTTACCAGGTATTTTTGTGAAATCCCCACTGTGTCTCTGGGTAGGCACCTCCCAGGATCCTCCCTGGATTTTCGAACCTTCTCCAGTCATCGCATGGTGGCAAGGTGAGACCCCTCAAAACCCTCCCCAGCCTTTCTCTTCCCTCTCCTCCCTTTCCCCTCCCGTGAGCCTCCGGGAGGGATCTGCAACATGAAGTTTCCATTTGGAGCTGGCAAATTCCTGGTATGCCGATTTCTAGGAAACGTGGCCCGGGATCGTGTGTTTGGTGAAACCCTAGCATGTGCGATACCTGTCTGTCCTCAGCCTGAGGTCGGACATCTGCATCCCATTCTCTGCTCTGAATTTTCTCCTATTTCTCTGGGCTGGAAGATAGCAACATCCATGCGGAGAGGGGATTGTAAAAATAAATGGCCTGTTTTTATGGCGTGTTTTTATGCGCAGTGTGTGCTGGTGTTGTACAGCATGCATCCTCCTGGAGCAGAGTTTTTTTCGTTTGAAAGGCGTGTGCAAAGGGGAGAGGGCTTCGAGATGCACCCGTTGCATTTCTGCAAGCGCCCGTGCAGTGCTGGCTGACGGCCTGAAAAACATGCAGTGCTCAGAGGATAATGAAGGTGGGGAAGACACTAGCCACTGCCCAGCTTAAAAAAAGAAAAAAAAAGCAGTCGTAACTGCTTTTGAAAAAATAGACAAAAAAAGCACAGAGTTTATTTTTCTGAAGCAGCAACTGAATTCATGTCTGATTGTATGGAATTGCTAAAATCAGGGTCAAAGCTGTAGTGCTGCCCAGCTGTATTGGGGTGTGCAGGAGCGTGCTCTGCCTGGGCAGCCTGTGCCCACTGCAGGCAGCTTAATTGCTCGTGGACATTGATTGCAGCTTAATTGCTCGTGAGCATTGCTTGTGGCTTAATTGCACATGGGCATCGCTTGCTCATGAGCGTCAATGGTGGTGATGCCACTCTCCATCTGGAGGAGGGAAAAATAATATTTGGAACTGCTCGTGCCAGCATGCAGGCCGGCGTTTGGGGAAACAACAGATTGGCAAGAAGGAAGGATGCAGCCATTGTTGCTTTTGAGGAGTTTAAGGAGTTTATATTAATTTAGTGGGGCTGAGAACAGGCGTGTGTCGGCACCGAGGGTCGGGATGTGCTGGTCCGAGTGAAGCACACGTTGTGCGTGTGTAGGAGTTTCCTGAACTTGCAAGCCTCTTTGTTTGCTCAGCTAGAAGCTCTTCAATGTATTTCATACTAATTAATGCTGAAATAGTTGCACTTGAAGAAGAGATTGTGTCCAGATGTTGAAACCTCTGGATTTTAAAGTTTGTTTAATCTGTAATTTAAGAGCTATAGTAAACAGCTATGCTGCATTTTCAGATCATCCAGTAGAGCGGGGACTGATTAAAAGCAAATAAGTGAAAACTCCAAACCCTTTCCTTTAGCAGTGAGGAATAACTGCCCTTTCGCAGGGCCTGGGGAGGGTGAAGGTGGCAGGCTTGGGTCCCTTCGGCTGCAAAGCAGCCCCGAGCCCAGCCACGAGCACCCAGGTGGTGGCTGGAGGTACGGACTGGAGCCCAGCATCGGGCTTGGAGCTTGAGCAGGGGCGTTTTTGGGGGTTTACAGGCTCCTGCAAGGGACTTTGCTTCAGAATGGGAAGAACGAAGCTGTGCAAAACCTCTCCAAAACATGTAAGACTGCCCTGTCATCCATGTGCGCCTTTCCTGGGGCATGCTCTGGATTTCTTCAGTCACTTTCCCATCGCTTTTATTCTCTGTGCATGGAAATACCTTCACTCTTGGTGGCCTTTCTTTGCCCTTATGCATTGCGGAATTGCTGCACCTTGCTGCACCTTTCGGTAGAGGACCCCGGAGGGCTTTAACCCTTCCCCAACCTCTCTCCTCCTCCCACCTGTCCGTATTTACATCCCAGGGAAATGAAGCAGTGTGGGTGTTTGGAGGAGGGAGGATGGTTTAGCCTGGCTTCATTTACAGACTTACAACTTTAAGCTTGTGGGTAACAGCAACGGGAGAGCGGGATCTGCTTGGGGTGTCAGAAACGCCCAGAGGCTTTAGCACGGGGTAATTAATTAATCCCCTCCCTGTATCCGGAGCACATGTGGTCCTGCAATGAGAAGATTCAGGCTCTGACACCTCCAGCAAGCTTGCACGGCTCTTGGCGACAGTCCTTGGCTCCCTGGTGTTTAAATCTCAGGGAGTAGCAGATATTTTTTTTCCCTGCAACTATTTGTTTCAAATTAATTGGGATTTTGGACCGCAGCCAGCCGCCTTCTGTCACTTGAAACTGGAGATAAGCAGGAACGGCGTGGTCTTTTCTCTAACCTAGTTGGAGCCGTTTTTGCTGGACAGAGAAGTCTCGAGCTCTTTCATAACATGGACCACATCTTAATAGCCAGTCTTGTGGGCTCCATCCCTCCCACTGCTTCTGACGCAGAGCGTCTCCCCTCCCGCTCGCCTTGGCCAGCTTCCCTGGATGACTCCACTAATTGCTTACGTAGAAAAATAATGAGAAGGATGCGTATGATGTATTTTTAGATGTCTCTTGGTGGGATTTAGCAACCGGCGAGCCGGAGCCAGCACCTCCCCATCCGTCTTTTGCATCCCAGCGGTGGCTGCTTGTTGGACTTTGGGAGGTTCTGCCCCAGGAGGTGGCACTTCTTTTGCAAGCTTCTCCCCTTTTTGGGCTCCCTCCTGGCCTTTAATAAATGGGTTATGGATGCTGCGTCCCTCGTGCTGCACAGGATCTGTGCCGGGAAGCCCTGAGCTAGTGCATGGTGCTGGCAGCGTGCCTGTGCCATGATGGGGACCACCACCTCCTTGCTCATCTCCAAGAGGATGGCCACAGTGGTGGCAGGGCAGCATGGACCATGGTGGGTTGGAGGCTGTCTCAGCACCTGAATCATAGAATAGTTTGGGTTGGAAGAGACCTTTAAAGGTCATCTAGTCCACCCCCCCTGCCATGAGCAGGGACATCTTCAACTAGATCAGGTTTCTCAGAGCCCTGTCCAACCTGACCTTGAATGGTTCCAGGGACGGGGCATCCACAGCCTCTCTGGGCAACCTGTGCCAGTGTTTCACCATCCTCATTGTAAAAAAATTTCTTCTGAAGTAACCAATGGCATGTTTTCCAATGTATAAATACCCATGAGATGGAGAGTCTCACCACCAAAGTTGCTTTTTTTGTAGTGGGTTTTTTTTCAGGTGTTCCCCTCTGAAACCTCAGCAGAGCAGGCGAAAGGGAGCAGATGCAAAATTTCATTAAGTATTACCCCAAAGACTGTGATAATTGAGCATTGCAGCAAGTAGTTCCCTTATTTTTCTATTTGCTTCTTCCATTGCAGGACTCTTTGTGTCTCAGTGGCTTCCTGTGCCGGGGGGGCCGGGCTCCAGCTCTTCCCTTTCCACCCGGGTGCGAGGAGCGCAATTCTTGCAGCACGACTTATCTGCCCTTGGAGCTGAAAACATCCTTTCTTTGCTCTTTTTGAATCCCCTGAATGAATGATTTCTCCTGCTGGTTAACATCAGCTTCCACACCAAAGACTGTGGGAAAGCTTCGCAATTTAGAGTGATTTTAATAGATCTGGTTTATGTCTTAAAAAACCCCATCGCTTTCTAATTCTCCATCACATGTTTCCTTGATTACGTGTCGCGCAGCAGTGCGGCTACCAAAATAGCCTTACGGTCTGAAGGAAATCATCAGGAAATATGTTTTTTAAACTGTAGGCAATTCTCTTTTCACCAGGCGCTGTTGGAAAAAGTCTGTGTTTGACGAAAAACATGGCTTTTCTGGCACCTCGGCTGCTCGCGCGGTGATGTTGGGAGCGTGGTGCTGCAGCAGTTTGCCCAAACGCCCCCAATTTCTTAGAGTCTTGCTGTGAATTTTCTCTTTATCCACCCAAATAGTTGGGATTCTCTTGGTGTTGGGTTTGCTTCAGTTTTTGGAGAAGATGCTTGCTGTGTGTTCAGGTCTTTCCATGCAGGGTGATGCTTTGCTTGCCTGCAACTTGGAGCCTGCTCTCTCTTTTTAGGGTGTTTTTAGTGGGCAAGAGAAAGCGAGGTTTGCCTGAGGTTGAAGTGCTGCTTTCCGAATAATAGAGTCTCTGACAAATAGGCAATTCCTTGTGGAAAAAAAATCTTGAACTGTATAAAATAACTCAAAAGGCAAATCCTAGCCTGCTGCACTTATTTCTAGCACCTGTACCCAAGGGGTGCCCACCTCTACGTGAGTCAGAAGGGACTGGTGAAGCTTGGTGGCCATCAGCCCTTTGCTTCTCGCCCATGAGCACTTTGATCTCTCCTGGCTTCACTGCTGCCCTTGGTGTCTGCTGATGTAGGTGCTTCAATGCTAGTCCTGCATCAAAGTGGATGCTCGGTAGAGCATTACTGCGGAAGATCCCCATGGTTTGGGTGCAGCACCCCATGATGAGTTTCCACGTTTTTCCTGGTGTCAGGAGTCGGTCGGCTGGCACGTGCGTTACCTGCCAGTGCTTTTTTGGGTAAAACTCTTGCTGGGGGAGCCTTCTGGGGCAATGCCGGGGGTGCAGTGTTGATTTAGGGAGGCTGAAGGTGAAGGCTGGGGACCTCCGTGATGCATCCCCATTGCTGCAGCCAGGCGAACCTGTGGGGCTGTCCCCGGTCCCTGGGGGCGAGGACGGCCGTCATTGCACACTGGGGTTTCCTGTGCCCTGTGGTTCTGCGTGGCCTGGGTGGCCCCTGGGAAGGGATTTTCCGCTCTGCACGCTTGAGATGTGCTCGAAGCTTCCTGCCCTGGCCCGCAGCAGAGCAAGCTGCTTGTTTTCTTTAACCCTTTCCTCTTACCCCACCGCCTGTGGTCCTGACGGGCTGGCGGGGTGCGTGCCATGTCTCCCCAGGTCTGGGGCTTATGCAAGGAGACCATGACCACTGATGAGGCCACCAAGAGCGAAGGGGAGGTGCAGGCGGCGGCTCTCGCCGAGCGCGGGGAGGACATCACGCCGGCTCGAGACCGAGGGGTCCTGAAGGTGAGGGGGTCTGCCAGGAGGGTCCTGCCTTTCTTTCTGCATTTTGGGGTACATGGTCACGTCAGTGGGCTGCATCCCCAGCCCTTGGGGTCATGTAGTACTTCCAGGGCTGTAGGACTGATTTTTTTTATTTGAAAGGCAAAGGAGATGAGCATCACTTGGAATAAAGAAGGACAGAGTGGCGTTTGAGACTGATGGATTCAGGCTGCTCAATGAATTTCGCTGCTCTTGTGTTCCTAATCAGATTATTAGCTGTAAATCCACAAAGCATTTTTGTGTGTGACTCACAGACATTAGAAAGAGCACATTACTGAGGTCATCCAGTCTGCTCCACAGCCCCTTTTTCATATTCAGGGCCGTTTCTGGATAGTTCTGCTCCCCAGCGCTTGCTCTTCTCCAGTTGAATAAGACCTTTCCTCTAAGAATAGCATCCTCCCCTGCTCCATCCTCAGCTTAAGAACTGCTTGTTCCAGGCTGTAGCATTCAAAAAAAGAAAAAAGAAAAAAAAAGAAGTGTTGACAAGATGTGAGTAGTGAAATGACACACCCCTGCGAGTAAAATGTGTATGGACAGAAACCGAGCGTAATTGCATTCGCTTCAGATTTCGAACCGCAGTGTTTATCCAGACACCTCCGCAAAGTATGGGCAGGTCTCCACTCCCAGCCCTGTCCCACTCCATCACTGTGGCTCTGGATCAGGATTTATTTTTAGGGGCTGATGGAAGACAAATTGAGTGACTCCCCCCCCGAGCCTTCCTTTAGTTTAGAGCAGCACCGGGGTGTATATCCATGTGTATATATATTTTTTATATATATATATATATATGTGTGTGTGTGTATATATATGTATGCGTGTGTGTATATATCTGTATCTCTCTCTCTCTCTCCATATGCATCCTTAGCTGTCCCATGGCCTCCCTTCTCACAGGTGGTTTCTCTCTTTCAGATCATTAAACGACCTGGGAGTGAAGATGAGTCCCCCATGATCGGGGACAAGGTTTATGTCCACTACAAAGGCAAACTGGCCAACGGGAAAAAATTTGACTCCAGCCGCGATCGGAACGAGCCCTTTGTCTTCAGCCTGGGCAAGGGTAAGCCAGTCTGGGGGATCTGTCCGTGGCGATGCTTGAGCGTGGGATGATCCCGGGGCGGGGTGGCGTGATCCTGGGGCGTGGGACCCTGTTGCCGGACAGATGGATGGTGTCAGCCCTTCCTTAAGTGACATCTGAGGGTGGGTTTTTTTGGGGTGCCATCCTTGCACCACTCTGGCTGGGTCTTTTCTGGGCTGCCAGTTGCTCTTTCCTGCCTGACATCTGCCTCTCTCCTAGGTCAGGTAATCAAGGCATGGGACATCGGGGTGGCTACCATGAAGAAGGGAGAGATCTGCTACTTGCTCTGCAAACCCGAGTATGCATATGGCTCTGCTGGCAGTGCCCCCAAAATCCCCTCCAATGCCACCCTCTTTTTTGAGGCAAGTAATGCTGGCGAGCCAGCGCGTGGATGAGCTCGCTCGCTCCCTTTCTGCCTTGCCAGCCAGCTCAGAAATAAAAAAAAAAACAACAAAAAAACCAACAAAAAAACCAGCTTGGATTCCTGAAACGTGTCCCTCTGCTCCAGGAACCGCTGCCAGGGTTTTCTCAGAAATGTGTGTCTGAGCTGGGAGGCTGGGACTGAAACTCTGGCTGGGGAGAGCCCTGGTGCCGGGGCGGGTGGGGGGGAGCAGGCAGATTCACGGTTTAAAAATGTACATGGGAAGGAGAAAGCGTCTGGGAAATGCCTCTGGGTGCTAAAAACCAATTAGTGCCGCGGGGCGGTAGGAAAGCCAAGGTTTTGGCACGGTGTGCTCGCTGAGCAGGGCTCGTCAGGACAAGGCAGTGGGGCAGGAGGAATGGGTCTGTCCTAAATTAAGGTTTAGCCCTTCCAAGTCGAGTGGGGACTAAGCCGTGGGTCAGAGCGGGTCCTGCCGGAGAACGAAGGGGAAAGTCCTGCCCATGCTGGTCCCAGGCAGCTTTCACAGCATCTTCCAGCACCAGCCGTGTTGTACCCTTACAGGCTTAATAAACTTATTTTTACTGTTACTTTGTGTTATGCTTCAGGTACTGGATGTGTCCCAGTTTCTAATAAATCGAGTGTATTATGCTGTGGCTTGGAGCTGGCTTTTATGGGCAACTTCTGCTCGTCAGCTGAATGGAGAATTAGCTAGCTTAGCTCTCCAGCCAGAGGATGAACTGCTGCTTTGTGGTTTTTCTGTTGTTTTTCTCTTCTCCTTCCACCCCTCCCCAAGCTCTGCCCACCTTTTCTTTATTATTTTATTTTTTAGGTCGAGCTGCTTGACTTCAAAGGTGAGGACTTGTTTGAGGATGGAGGGATAATCCGGAGGATTAAGAAGAAGGGAGAAGGTTACTCCAATCCTAACGAAGGTGCTACAGTGGAAAGTGAGTACTGGTCTGTTTGTGGGGGAGGCTGGAAGAGTGAGCCAGTCTCGGAGCAGCCCAGCTTTTTTCTTGCTGGCAAGGAACTGCTGGCACTACATAGGTTGCAGGTGGCCGTGCATCATGGTGGGATGCAGTTCCATCCATCCAGATGCTGGATGGGATGGAGTGGGGCTGGGAGAGCTGTGATTCACTGCCCGCCCACCCGGGGATGCTCCTCTGAGCTCTCCCTTGGCATGGCCCCGGCGGTGGCTCTGCCAGAGCTGCTGGCCAGAAGGGTTGATTGGAAAACCACAAGCCGCGGGAGCAGCCAGGCAATTATGGAGCGACTCGAATATAACCTGCGCTCTGTTTTTTTAGTTGTGTTGACAAACACATCCCTGCAAGCCCCGGAACTGCTCAGTCGGTGGCTGGGGGGAGGATGGAGAAGGCAAAGCCAGCTGGGGTTTTGGGGCTCTGCTGTCTCCCCCTGACCCTTTTGCATCCAACACAGTGTCCAAGCTGCTCTGGGATGCACTGGCTGCCAAAAGCCTAGCTCTGCCTTGCCTTGAAAGCATCAGTAGCCAGGACGTCCTCCCTTGATGGCATCCCTTGCTAAGCATTTTGGGCACTGACACAGGCGCTCAGCAGCTTCTTTGGCCACCTTGTCCCAATGTTGGTTGTAGTTTTGGTGGGTTTTATCACACCTCTTGCAGAATGGAACTTTTTCTTTTCCTTCCTCTGTGGCCAGAGCGCTGCTGCTGATGGAGGGGGGGAGGAGATTAATGCAGGGGATTTGCTGAGGCTGGGGTGGTCTCAGCTGACATGGGAGGATGAGGAGCTTGGGTCCTGTTGGGCTCTCCCTGTTCTGATCACATTTGTGGAGCAGACATTTCACGGGGCTGGATGAGGGAAGCCAGGCTAATTTTTTTATTTTGTTTTCCTTCCCAAGAGCCACTCAGCCACAGACAGAGAGCTCACTCTGTACAGGAGGCATTTACTTTCTTTTCTCTCTTTCAGAGCTCCTGTACACAAAGATTAACTCCCTTTAGCAAAGGAGAAATTGGATCTGAGCTGTGACAGCTCATAAAGCTCGCCGCTTAAATGGCTGGTTCTTCTAATGAGGCTTTCTTTTAAGGAAAAATGAGTTTTGGACTCAGATTCAACTGCCTCTCCTGTGGTGAGCATCTTAGCTGGGGACCAGCCGCAAGTCGAGCATCAAGCCGGCTCCGCTACCCCAAAGATTAAACTAAAAGACTAAATATAATTGAAATTGTCACAGATCCAGCATTCCTCTTTATTTTTATTAGGTCTGAGCGCTTTACGGGCAGCACTGTGCCCAGTGCGGAGGACGGGGAGAGCCCTGGTCCCTCTATGGTTCCCTTTGCAGCTCAAGGTTTTCGGGAATGTGAGGATGCTTTAATGGCTCAGGAGGGGACTGAGGGGGTGGGGGGGCACCAGCCAGGAATCATCTCTCTGAAAGGACATAAGGAGCCAAATAACAAGGCTCCTCGTAGGCTTGATGCCCCACAGCCTATTGTCCCTGCTTTACCTATTTCAAATGAATGCATCCATCAGAGCAAACGCTGCGAGCGAGAGCACACGCGTGGTTAGAATCATGGAGATGGATGCCCTGCCAGGTCATCCTGTGGAGCCAGCGCTGCATGTGCAGGGCAGAGATCGGGAATGCTGCGCTGATTCCGCCGGCAGCCTGCCTGCTGTGCCAGCTGCTCCATTTGCAGCTCGTGTGGCCCTTTAATTCATTTGGACCTATACATCCCAGGGAAGGAGACCCTTAAATACATCCCCGTGAGAGAGGACAAGGAGAAGCAGCACAAGGCAGCCTTGCAGTGAGCATTTTGGGTGCAAATAGGCTTTTTTTTTTTTTTTTTAAACAAATGCAACGCTATTTATGATGGGCACTGTGCTGGGGATGGCACGGCAGCTGTGGGGACAGCACAGCAGCCCACCCTGGGGCAAGGCTGTGACCCAGGGGAGCAGTGATGGTTTATCTCAGCTGTGTATTTGGGAGGTGTGTTGCCACTGGAATTACACTGGAAGAAACCATCCTTCCAGGAGCAAGCATCTCCAAGCTGGAGTTTTGAAAGCGTTTTTATAGGTTTTAAGTTTTACAGACCCTAATTCACAGTTCCGGTCCCTAAAACCCAGGCTGCAGTTGAAATCTGGCATTCCAGCTTTTGTTACAACCTTTCCCCCCCCTCCCCCCTTCTCCATTTTTAATCTGAGTACAAATTGCTGTCAGCACATCAAGTTCGTGTGCCAGCCGCACTCGGTACACTCTGTTCTCAGCTCTTCAAAAACAAAATCGCTGCAGGCACCGAGAGAACAATAAGTCAGGGCTGCAACCGGAGTGATGTTCCTTCAGCAGCTTTTTTTTTTCCCTGTAATTCAAGAGCAACTGCAGCCAGCTGACCCGCTCCTGGAAACCCGAGCAGAGATTTTTCCCCTCTTTGCCCAGTGTATTTTATGCGCAATTAAAATAGAGCGAAACTATTCTCCAAGGGAAGGATCGCGGCATCCTCCTGCGTGTCCTGTTTTAAAGCGGGATCTTCCTGTCACTGCCGCATCCCACTGGGGATAGGGGACCCGGGAGAGCTGTAGTGCTGCTTTTGGGGTTAGAGATTATGGATCCGTATTCACTGGGAACATGTAGGGAGATGGTATGGTGCTGTGGGGTTGCTGGGTTACCTGTATTTTAGGCTGAATTTACTGCTTTCCTATGCTTAAGAAAATAGCCAGCTTGGTTTTGTGTAATGTAAAAGCAGAGGTCAGCCCCGAAGGAGCTGGATTTGCCTTTTGTCCTCATCGCGAGCTGGGTGAGCGCACACCAGCCTGAGCCTTGTGGTCATTGCACACCAGTGATGGATGCAGGATGCATCCCGGGATGCTGGCACGCACATGAGCATCCTCCGCTGTACCGTCCTTGAGTCCTAGCGTGGCTTTGGTGGCTGGCAGGAGCGGGGTGATGAGGCAGAGCTTGATGTCTCGCCCCCGCGGTGGGGAGAGCATCCTTGGGTTGTGTTACGACGGTGTTTAATGCCCAAGGGCTGGATCTGCCCTGGGAACCGGAGTCTGCCTGTGGTCTCTCTTAGTCTGTGCGTCTCATTCTGGGGACTTGCAGTAGGTTCCAGGGCAGGGAAGTGGGGCAGAGATGGGCAGATTTCCTTCAGGCTGCAGCTTTCCCTTACGGAGCCCAGACTCTCTCTGCCGTGCCTGGCACGGCATCTGCTTGCATTCGCCTCCTGCCACCCAGGGCAAGATGCTCGGTGCTGCACGGTAGCTCGGGTTGCATCCTGCGGCTCTGCACGGTGCTGGAGGGGTTCTGAGAGCAGTCCCCGGCCCTGAGGATTTTTTTTTTTTTCCGAGCATCCCTCCTCTCCCCCGTTCAGCAGTGCTTGCACAGGCGATGTCTCCTCTCTGTTCTGCAGCGAGCAAAGGTAAAGCTCGTGTCCTTCCAGCCTGCAAAGTCCTTAAGCACAGTTGTGATGCCTACCATTAGTTTTTCCTCTTAAAAGCTTTTTTGTTTGTTTTGGCTTTTTTTTAAACGGTACGTAGGAGTTCCTTATGAAATTGCTTTTACTTTATACCTGCTCATACACGTATGCCTTGTATCCTGCAAGCAGAGTGCAAAGAACATAAAACTCTCCCCAAAGCCCATAACGTCTTCAGGATTGAATAAATAAAGCATAATCTTGCTGTGGAAACCCAGCCAGGAGTACCAGGTGGTGAATGTGCCAGGTACCTGGTGTCCGCTCTGGCTGCGCTTCTGCCAGCGTCTGGGGCTGGAACAGTATGGTTATTGGTTGAAGATTAAAAAAAAAAAAAAAAAAGTTTATCTTGTACTTTGAGTTCTTGGAGGCAGGAGAACATAGCCTTATTTTCGAGGTAGAAGGCAAGGCAGTATAGCACTGTATAGAAGATTTGTAATCACCGTGATAAACTCTGTGTGGCAGCGTGCCAGGAGCAATATCCAGTTCCAGTAAGACTTGACTCGTGCAGTTGAGTACTGAGGGGAACGTATTAGTCATGATGTTTATCTGTTGTCTGGTCCTTGGTTAGACAAGATATGCCTGCCTTGCTTTTCAGCAATGTTTCCAAGCCCTCCCCATCCCGCTCTGCTCACCAGGGGCTGCTTGGCTGCACCCAGCCCTGTGTCTTCCTCCTTCCAGGGCTGGAGGCTTTGCTGGATTTCAGGAGATATGCTTTATAAGATAATTTAGAAGATGCTTTCTTTGGAGCCCACCTTGCCTTGGTTTGAGTGGTTCTGGGTGTGATCCTGCCCTGTCCCCCCTGCAGTTCACCTCGAGGGATTCTGTGGTGGCACCAGGTTCGACTGCAAAGACGTGAAGTTTGTCGTGGGCGAAGGGGAGGACCATGACATCCCCATCGGCATTGACAAAGCCCTTGAGAAGATGCAGAGGGGAGAGCACTGCATCCTCTACCTTGGGCCACGGTAAGGAGCATCCCTCTGGGGATGTCACCTAGTTTTAAGCTTCCAGCATCCGCGGTCATTTTAGCACTCATGGACGATGGCGATCCCAAAAATAGGACTCCCCAGGAGAGCCTCAGGTTAGCAATGCCAGCAGGGATGGCAAGAGTGACCGGTGGCACGTAGGCAGGAATCACAAGATGCTTTAAAAAAATCAGGTAAAAGGGGTTTATCCGAGTCCTGTGGCTGAAAGGAAAATGTGTCCCTGAAAATCGCTAGGGCTGCATCTTTACACTGGGGAGAAACCTGTATAAAAAGATGGGTTTGATGCAGCCAGAGAGGATGATTCCCAATATATAATTCATTGTATATTGTCAGACATCTTTGCTCAGGGAGAATAACGTCACCCTGGCCCCAAAGCGTTAGAAAGCTGCAGGCACGAAGCTGGGTGTGAAACCAGAATTAGTAACCTGGGACTGTGTTTATGGCCAAATGCTGCCAAAATGAAGATTTCCCCCCCTTTCCCTGCTCTGACAGCCTCTTTCTGCCCTTTCAGGTACGGCTTTGGTGAGGCAGGGAAGCCGAAATATGGCATCCAGGCGAATGCGGAGCTGGTGTACGAGGTTACGCTGAAAAGCTTTGAAAAGGTGAGGGTAGGAGCGCGCTGGTCCCTCCCCAGGTTATGGGAACGCCAGTCCCTTTGCAGCGTCCACCCTTTGTCCCTGGCGTGGCTGCAGCCCGGCCCCTGCTGAAGTGGATACGTCACCAAGGATCTCTGTGTTCTTAATTTGTTCTTCTCTGTTGGTTTGTTTTATTTTTCTGGCTGGGGTCCAAGGCTGGTTCTCTTATTTGTTCCTAGCCTTGTTCCTTTTGTACTTTCTTTTTTTTTTCCTTTTATTTTTTCTTTTTTTTTTCCTTTTATTGTTTTTCCTTGTATTTTTTTTCTTTTATATTTTTTCCTTTTCCTTCTTTTTTTTTTTTTTTTTTTTTTCTTCCCCCCCCGCCCCGGGCTGCACAGATCAAATTTGGTGTGGTCAGCCAGCGGACCCTGAGGAGCTTGGCTGGCATGCCAATCTGGCTGTGCCTGTGAGGAGGCTGGGGACGGGATGCAGGAGATGCCCATGGGATGGGACAGGTGCTGCTGTGCTGCATCCCTGGCTGGATCCCCTTCCCACCCCATCATGCTGGCTGGAATGGGAGCAAGACCCACTACATCCCTTCTCTGCTGGGGGATGTCTCTCCCCACCTTCCTCTTCCCTTTTTGGGGTTTATTTTTTTGTCAGGGTTTTTCCTCCTGTGGGATTGTGGTGGACAAACCACCTTGCTCAGGGTGAAGTCCCAAAGCTGGTGGGGGTTTCTCTGTTGTAAAGGGCTCTTTACACCCCCACATGTGCTCTGGGTGTCTCCTTGTTCCCAGACCCTCAAATTAAAAAAGCTGGCAGATCTCCCTTCTCTATTACTGCCCTGACGAGCCCAGCTCGTTAACGAGCAGTCCTAGAAAGCCATGTGGTCCTGCTGGTGCAGTGGGTTGCCATGCTTCGCTGGGATTGCTCCAAGCATTTCTTTGCAGGCCAAGGAGTCATGGGAGATGGACACCAAAGAGAAGCTGGAGCAGGCTGCCATCGTCAAGGAGAAAGGCACGATGTACTTCAAGGTTTGTAAACTTGGGGATGGTGGAGGCGGAGCAAGGGAGATAGAAATAAATTGGGGGTGACTGTCAGATACATGACTTAGCAGTCATCAGTGTCAGAGAAGCCGTGTCCCCCCAGACAGTGCTGGGGATGGCAAGTCCTGCTCTTCCTCTGCCTTTTTCTCACTCCCTGAGATACCTCCTCCTTTCTCAGCATTGCCTTGCCCACGTGTGCTCCCTGTGGAGCAGGATGGCAGATTGGACTGTTCCCAGGGGTGGATGTGGCCAGGGCTAATGCTTAGGGGCTTTGCAGTTCCCCTTCCTGGGGCGTCCTGGTCCTCCTCTGCTTTGCACAGAGGAGGAACGCAAGCTCTGACTTGGCTTTTTACAGGGGCTGCACACCAGCAGCTCCAGCCAGGTCCCGGTGTGTTTGTAGGTATTAGGCATCCTCCTTCATTCATTTATTTATTTAATACACTGCGTTAAACTCGTAACCTGTTTCCAGGACGTTTCGGGAGCAGACCAAGCGTTGTCGGCGCGGGTTCCTCTAGCCTCTTCTTCTTTGCTCCATCCCAGGAAGGCAAATACCTGCAGGCAGTGATTCAGTATGGGAAGATTGTGTCCTGGCTGGAAATGGAGTATGGCTTGTCTGAAAAAGAGTCAAAAGCCTCTGACTCTTTCCTCCTGGCTGCCTTCCTCAACCTGGCCATGTGCTACCTGAAGCTGCGAGAGTACGCCAAAGCTGTTGAGTGCTGCGATAAGGTAGAGGTGCATGAGCCTGGGTGTTGGAGCATCCTCTTCTCCTGCATGTTTTCATTGGGAGTTTGGGGGTTTTTAATTTCTTTTTGTATAAGAAGCAATTTCCAAGCGGCAGTGGGATGGTGGCATCCCTTCTCCACCTCCAGGTCTCTGTGGATGCTGCATGCTTGGAGACTGCAGGAGCAAAAGTGCCTTTTGGGGTTGAAAATCCACCTGGATATGCGCTTACAACATCTTTTCTTCCAAAGCCAGATCCACGTGAATGGGTGCCATGCGGACCGGCAGCCTTAGGACACTGTTTGCGTCTGCCCAGGCTGGATTTAGGTGTTGGGTGCTGATCTGGGTACGACAGAGGCAGTCTGCGCCAGAGCTGCAGCGGATCTCCCAAGTCTCTTGAGGGGTGGAATGGGGCTTTGCCAGTCCCTAGAAGAGCTGCAACCTTGTATTTGTCAGGAAACTATTAATTCTTTTTTATAAAAGACTTAAATTTAAGCATTTTGCATATGGGAAAGATAGTAAGGCTAGTTGCCTTAATCTAAAAGGTGAATCATCTCTTGAGATGCATATGTGGCTTTTACTAAAGGAAAAGAATGTCATTGCTAAAGCAGGGAGAGAAAACCCTGTTTAATCCATCAGCTCCCTTGCCTCTGAGCTCTTTGTGCTCCCCTGGGCTCAGGTTTAGCGTTTACACCTGATTTCTTGTCTGTGAGTTTGTCTCCCACTGACTGCCACTCTCAGGGGGATTTTAAGCAAGGAGAAATAACTAAACTATATTAATGACCTGCCAACTGCTGATGTAGATGAGTCAATTTTTGTTGAGCAAGATGCAAGTGGTCTGGAGACTTGAAGACACCTTGTCCTAATTTTGGCAGATTAAATGAGGCTTCGACCGTAAGGGAGTCTTTGGGGGATGCCCAAGTTGCTAACAGGGACCTGTGTGTTTCCAGGCACTAGGACTGGACCAGGACAACGAGAAGGGCTTGTACCGGAGGGGTGAAGCCAGGTTATTGATGAATGAGTTTGAGCTGGCAAAATGTGACTTTCAAAAAGTGCTGGAAGTGAATCCCCAGAACAAAGCAGCAAAATCCCAGATCTCTGTCTGCCAGAAGAAAACAAAGGAGCACAACGAGCGGGACCGGAGGATCTACGCCAACATGTTCACAAAGTTTGCGGAGAGGGATGCAAAGGTGCGTGTTGCCTGGTTTTGGCCATCTAGCAGGCTGCACTTGAAGGATGCTTGGCAGGTTTGTGATGAGAAAAGATGGGTTGAAACCAATTAAATTATAGATCAGGTTGAGGATGGAGGGATAGAGCCTGCTGCAGTGGGAAGAAGTGGTTTATTTCTTGGTCTCTCCTACGTGGAGACTGCTGTCAGATGCTCAGTCATCAATAAAAGTATTTGCAGTGCGAGCTCCTGAGGGCTGATAACAGGGTTGGCATTTGTACTTAATTTTGCTGTTCCCATCTAGTGACTGTTGATGACCTCCTGGTCGCCGGTAAAATGAAATGTCATCCTGTCTCTGGCAAGGCCAAGGGTATTTTGAGACATGATAGTATGGATTTCCTGAACCTGGTAAGGCAATAGCCTGCTCCTCTGCTTGTACGGAGAGATTGCTGTCTTGTAACAGGCTCTCATCCAAAATTCCTCTGACCAAAACCCGGTGTACTGTAACAAGAGAGGACACAGCTTTGCAAGCTGTCTGCACGGGTCATTTTTAGTATAATCTCTTCTGAACCAGTGCCTAGAGGTTGAGGCTGTGGAATAAGTGACCGGTGCAGACCCTGGGGAACAGCATGCCGGGGTAACTGGCCTGGGGCAGGGAGCGGAGCCGTCCCAGCCAGCTGCTGGCACTGTGGTGCGTTGGCTCGTGCAGCTGGCTGTGATGGGGAGGGTCACTGCTGGAGCAGGCGGAAGGCTTTACCGTGCCTTAGTGCTCCTCTCCTGCACCCAGCAGATGGGCTGCACCTATGGCTCAGTCCTGTATCTCCACTCCAATGCTGCTGCTTTATCTCTGTGTCCGTCTCCTCTGTGCCCCTGCATCCATCCATCCTGGCTCGCTCTGTGTCAGTGCCCTGCTCCTGTTGAGGTGGGAATGATGATCCCATACCTTCCCCAAAGGCTCACTGAGGCCATGAGGTTTAACCTCCACCAACCACTGAGCCAGGAAAACAGGAGCCTCTGATGTGAGCTGCAGTGGTCGATAGGCAGGGGAGAGCCAAGGGGGGGGGAATTTTGCCTGCCCTGCCAGGTTTGGCTGCCTGTACCCATCCCCAGCATCACTATCACCTGCCTGCTACTTCCTTCTCCTGTTTCCAACTCCTTGTCCTTTATTTGCTGTTTTGCAGGAAGCAGCTAGCAAAACTGGGGTCGAAAAAGCAGTGGAGAAAGCAGCTTGTGAAAAGGGACCGAAAACTCCCGGTGCTGAAGATGAAGAGGCTGAAGGACATGTATGATGGAGGAGGAGGGGAAGGGAGAGCCTCCTGCCCTCAGCCCATGCAGAAAAAGGTTGCTGCCAGACCTCGGGACTCGCCAGTGTTTTCTTGTAAAGCTTGTTACAGTTTGTGTGATCGTGGAAGCAAAAAGCACCTCGCAAAGAAAAATGAACCCTGTCCCACCGCCCTGGGCGCACTCGGGGACACAGCAGGAGCGGCGGGATGCCATGGGACCACCGCACATGGAACAAATAGCTTTTAAACAGAGAGAAAGAGAAAAAAAAAAATAAATAAAAATTGAAACTCTTGGCTCTTGGGAGGTTTCCGTAGACAGCTCGTCCCGGCTCCGTTGGCTTTGTGTTGGCTGTCAGTGCAGCATCCCGGCTCCTCTGAGATGAGTTAGGATGTGGGAGATGCTCCTTGTAAACTGCAGTGCTGCCTCTGGTTGCATCCGGCACACGACCGTGCTGTACCGTACTGGTGCCAGCACTGGGTGCCGTGTTGGCTCCGCCAGCCCCGAGCACGGAGGGGAGTGCTGCTGGCACAGGCATGGTGGGCTGCTGGAGCCCAGGACACCTGTGCGCTTGCTGGTTTTGGGGGGGGAAATTGATTTTCTCTCCTGGTGGCTTCTTGCCTGTGGCCAAAGGGGTTGTGATGTGGAGCCAGGCGTGGCATCACCTGCATGACCTCTGCTGCAGCCCTGTTGTGCAGGGATGTAATTTGCCTTTAAAGCACTGTTTTGAGGGGCGGATTTTATCTTTTGAAGAAGCTGGTTTCTATTTCCTTGGAGAGCAAAAGCCTCCTGTCCAGCTCTGCTGCTCGCAGGTGCTCAATCAGCAGCCTGCACCCCATCCCTCAGCTCCCATCTTTAAATGGGGGTTTTATTGCTTATTTGGGGTCCATATGGGGGGAAAAAAGAGCAGGTTGACATGTTGTGGTTCAGAAAGCAAGTGACTGAGTCTGAGCTGGTACTGTGGGTTTACAGCTCATCAGTGAACAGCTTTCCCCTGGCAAGGGGGGAGCCCGGCGTGCGCGGGGCACATCGTGTCCCCGCACCGATGCTGCTGCCACCTCGGCCATAGTCCCCCTCCATACTAAAGGGACGCTGTCACTACTGTGTGAGAACAGCTTTCCGGTTGTTATTTTTCCTGTCTGTTCTTTGTAATACCCCTTTTGGAGCTTGAAAATAAACAACTGAAAGAAAAACAAACAAAAAAAAGTGCTTTTTCTCTGGATCCTGCTCAGCAAAGGGGGTGGCTGGGGGGAGGCTGGGTGTGCTCACCCCTGGGTGGAGATTCCCTGGCTCCAGCGAGGGGTTCGTTAAGGAATTACTGGCGTCCCTGAGGATGCTGCTGCCCCTTTTTACCAGCACCATCGTTCCCTGGAGAGCCAGGGAAGAGCCAGCACACTGTGCTTCAGAGATGCCTGGCTCTGGGGGATGCTACTTGGGGGTCTCAGGTGTTTTTCCAGCCTGGGGGGGTTTATCCTGATGCTGCTGGGTTTTTTGCCAGCATGTACCTTTGGGAGGGGGCTCCCTGGGGGGCACCCGGGTGGGTGGAGGACCAGTTTGTGCCCCTTGGCTGAGGGTGTAGAGGGAGCAGAGAGCCATGCCAGTGGGGACTGTGGGTCTGCCCATCCTCTGACCCCCACCACAGCAATCCTTGGAGGATAAACCAGTTTTGGTTAAAATTCCTCTGTAGTCCATCAGGTGGTACCTGAAGCAACATTTCTCAAGCCTGTCTGTTTTCCCACTTGCAGTAGATATTCCCAGCGCGGCAGCCGTGCGGCTGCTCCGGCTGCTTGTCCAGGTCTCCGGTTTTACACCACCCCCGGGGTGTCTGGTAGCCAGCAAAGCATCTCTGTGGGTGCTGCAAGACCCAGGGGACCTGCAAAGAACTGGCATTTTTTTCTTGCAGGCAGGGCAAAAAAGTTTTTTGGGGGCAGCCCAAGCCACGTTTTCCATAGGAAACAACCCTCTCCAGAAAAAAACAACCAACTTGCTTTGCACTTTCTGGGCTTTCCCCCCCCGTTTTTAAGTAGATTTTTGGCTTATTGTAGCTTGGTGCTTTTCTCTCCCTCGGAAGAGAAATTAAACTCGGGCAGGTGATGAGATGCGGTTTAGAGATTAAAAGGAAACCAGGAAGATTTCGCACCGAAGGCGTCGAAACCTTTGCCGTGCTGGTGGGATGCCGGGTGTGCGGTGTTCAAATGCCATCTAGTGGCACTGGGCGCGGGGTGGGAAATGGGGTGGTGGGGGGTTTTGGGGGGTCTGTGGTGGGCTGAGCAAGGCCGAGGGTCCGGTGGGGGTCACTGGGGGCACTTGGCTCATCCGGCTTTGCAACTGGAGAGCATCTGCAGGCAGCCTTTGGAGGGGAATAGTAACAGCTAAATATTAAGTGCTGTTAACAACGAGGTGAGGCAGGAGCAGCGATGTGCAGGGTGTGAAACCCGTCACCCGAAGGGACCTGGGGACGTGGGGTGGGGGTCAGAGCAGAGCGGTGGTCCGTAGGGAAGCCCTTAACATCACCCGGAGCGGGGGATGCAGCCTTCCATGGGCTCCGCATGCCCAACTCGCACAAAACAGCCCAAATCCTGCTTTTCTATCACCAAGAAGACATTTTTGGGTGGTAAAAGGCACATCCAGAGATGGTGACCCTAAACAAGGTCAGGCAGCATCCCTCTGCCCACACCAGGCTGGAGCGAGCAGCCCCGCCGTGCTGGGGATCCCACCCAGCGTGGGGGGAGCTGGGCACCCCCAAAAGTCACCTGGGGTCCCATTGACCCCCTGTGCCCCCCTGCGCTCCCACAGGGCCCCCTTTTCCTGGGATTACTGCCCTGCCAGCTGCTCTCCCGGCACGCCTGGCCGGCAGCCCCTGAAATCCTATTACTGAGTTTCAGGAGAAATAAAAAGTTAATCATCTCCTTCACCTGCTCTTCCTCTTCCTCCTCCTCCTCCTCTCGCCACAGGGGCTCGCGGAGGTGGCCGAGCCGATGCCGTGAGGCCGCTCAGACCCTTGTGGCTGTGGCTGAGCCCATGGATTTGGCCCAGGACTGGTAGGAGCTACAGCACTGGGGGGTCAGCGGCCGGTGCTGGGGAGGAGGGAAGGTCAGGACAGGGCAGAGGGAGCCATCCCGGAGCCATGCCGCTGCAGACCGAGATCCTGCGGGAGGTCTGGGCTGCTGACAGGTGAGTGCCGGCGGGCAGGATGCGACCCGCAGGGTGGGCAATGTGCTGGGTATCCCTACTGGGCTCCTGTCTCCTCCAGCGCCTTTTTCTCCTATTTTCAGTTAAATTACAATTTAATGAGCTGTTTTATCAGGTTTTTTGCTCCAGGAGTTGGTGTCATGATGCCCATTGGTTTAGAGAGGAATAGCATTCATTAGTGAGGGGGGGTCCCCAAATGAACCTCATTGCTGTCACCCTTGGTCAAGACAGAGCCCGTCCTGTGCTCCCTGCTAAGAAGGATGCTGTTGGCCGAGCTTGACTTGGTCGAGACGGGGTGGGGGGAGCTGCTTCTGGAGCCAAACAAAAGGCTGACCTTTCCCCCCACCCTAAAAATGGGGGTGGTGCTCAGCCGGAGGCTCTCGTCCTCCCTGGGAGCTGCAGAGGGCTGAAAGCCCTCACTCCTTTTCTTTCTGTGCCCCACAGCCCCAGTGAGGAGCCGGGGAGCCCCCAGCAGCACAAGCCCAAGCAGGTGAGAAAACAAGACTCCCCCCCCCCCCCATCCCCAGTGCCACTGTCCCCTGCTGCGGGCTGTCCCCAAGGGCTGGGGACATCGGAGATCCCCAAACCCCAGCCCCACACCGAGACTGACTTGGGGCTGGATGGGTTGCTCCATTGGGGTGCTGCAGCCCTGGGGGGGCATGAGCTTTTGGGCCCCCCCCTTCCAGAGCAGGTGGGCAGAGGAAATCCCACAGCCTCTCCCCTGCTCCTTTGTGCATCCTTCTAACCCCCCCTCCATCACTTCGAAGCACCCCATGAGGTGGGCTCTCAGTTCCTAATTAACAATTTAATTAAGCCTCTCAGTTAAGCTGGCAGCCGTGACTCACTTTCCCCAGGCTGTGACCCCAAAGGCCAGAGACCTCCCTCATTGCATTTCGGCACAGCCCTCGGGTGCTGCCCGGCCTCGGAGGGGTCTCGGCAGCAATTTCATGGACCAACCACCCGATTTAATCAGCAGCCCCTCCTCGAAGGGCTTCGTTAAGTAAAGAGAGTGGCTGTCCTCCCCCCCCAGCTGCTTAAGGGATTAAAGGATGCGAAGGAGCTTTTCGGTGTGAGCTGATGACATGGAAGAAACCAGCCTGTTCCCAGCTCCGCCATGGGACTCCCAGCTTCCACCCCCCCCAAATCCACAGTGCTGGGATCCCGCTGGGATCCAGCCAGATCCCACCTCTTGGAAAACACCTTCACCCACTGGGCTGGAGCATCTGGGAGGGATGAAACCCCTGTGAGGGGGAAGGTGCTTTGTTGGGTGGTGGGTGCCCTGGTACAACTGCGTTTGCTTAAATCACTTTCTGAGGGCCCCGAACTGACACCCACTCCCCAAATATCTCCTGTCCAGAGGCAAGTGCTGCCCCAGATGCTCCGTATTTGGTAAATCAGAGTTATTTATAGCCCCGACTAACCGGGATTAGGTGTGCTGTGCTTAATCCTCCTGCTTCTCTGCTCCGGCTGACCTCCATCCCAGCACAGCCCCACGGTTCCTTGCCTTCGACCGGAGCCTTTCGTGGGGACGAGAGGAGATGGAGGTGCGGAGCCAGGCTGCCTGCCCATCCCCGTGTCCCCTGTCCCAGCTCAGGTCCCCCGGGATGCCCACTGGGAGATGAGCCGGTGCCCAGGGTGGCTCCTGGCTGGGGTCCGTATGGCACAGCGTGGCTTGTCCCTCCATGCCAGCACGGTCCATAGTGTCGGGGCATCGCCAGCAACATGTCCCTCATCCCTGGGGCTGGCACGTGGCCGTCTGTCCCAGCGCTGATGCTCTCCCATCTGTCTGCTAACAGCCTTTTTCTGTTTTCCTCCTTCTGCCTTCCCCGGGGGACTGCCCCATGGTAAGTTGCTCATTTGAAGGTGCGACTGTGTCCCCATCCCCGAAACGGGTCCCTGCTCCCATGTGGGGCCAGGGAAAAGCCTGCCTGTATTTTGGAAGGGGAGATGGTGCTGTATGAGCAGGGCTTGCCTTGCAAAGTGAAAAGGGATTTAAGGCCGGCACCATCCCCGCAGCACCATCCGCGGGGCAGAAGCTGAAGAAGAAGCGGCAGGAGCCTGTGCCGGAGCCTGAGGCGAAGCCCCGGCGGCTGCGGGTGAAGAAGCTGGGTGAGGCGGGGGCTGCAGAGGACCCCGGTGCCCCGGCACAGGGTAAGCACAGACACACCCCTGCCCCAACTTGCATGGAAATGGGGGGACACGCTGGTCCCTCCTATGGCCCCATCCTGCACCCGCTGTGTCTCCATTGCGAGCATCTCTTGAAATGCGTAGGGGTGAAGAAGCTGAGGAAGAAGAAGGAGGAGAAGGAGGAGGAGAGCGACAAGGACCCCTACTCCAAAGTCACCCGGGAGCCTCGGAAAAAGAAGGAGAGCCCGGCCGCCCGCTCCCGCGTGGCCAAGGGCCCCAAGAAGCAGCAAGGTGGGGGGCAGCACCCACCCCTCTGTGGGCACCCACTCATGGCATCTCATATCCCCGTGCACCACGGCCCCTCGCACCATGTCCTGCCAGTGCCATCGATGCTCCCAGTGTCTGCAGGGGCTCTACATGTCCCTGGGGGGCTTTTTGGCCAAAACCCAGCTGCATACTGGGAGGAAAGGGGATGTGGCAGGGGACCAGCATGCATGGCGTTGACTGGGGAGTTGGGATCAGGGCTGGGGGACACACATGCTGCCTGGGAATGTGGCAGTTGGCGGCTGGCCGGTGCCACCAGCTCCCCGGACATCCTACCGGAGCAAAAAGATGGGGCGGGCAAAAAGATGGGGCTCATCCCCCTCCCCAGTCCGCACCCCGGGGCTGCAGCCGCGAGATGGCAGTGTGACTTTGTACGCTGTGTCCGGCACTGGACACGTCCAACGTGCCACTGGCCACCGTGGTTGGGGCGGGCACCCGTGGCCCCAGCACCCTGGCCATGGTGGGATGGGTGTCCACGCCGGCTGGCGCTGCCAAGGGAGGTTCCCTGCTCGCAAATCATGAGGCCGTGGGTCCCCAGTGCAAGAGGCCATCGCGTTGCTGATGCCGTGGTTGTCACCTCCGGGCAGAGCCAGCTGAGGACTCGGAGGATGAAGAGGAGGAAGAGGAGGTGGAGAATAAAGACCCGCCAAAAAAGCTCAAGAAGAAGCTGCCCAAAGAGCCCCCCTCGGGTGAGAGCCGGGAGAAGAAGCTGAAGCCGAAGGGTGAGTGCCCAGGGGATGGGCACGGCTCGAGCCCAGCTCCGTTGCCACTTGCATCTGTCCTTGCCGGGATGAGGGGACTGCCCGTGTCCCATCTCCATCGCTGTCCTGGGAGGCTCAGGGGAGGCTGTGGGGCGATCGCCCCCTCCCCATGCAATCTGCCCCCAGCTCAACCTTCCCCGCTGCCCCCACCCTGTCACCTCCCTGTCCCCGTCACCGGCCATCCCCATCCCACTGTCTGGCCGCTCATCGGCTCCTCCATCCCACTAGGAGACAGGAGCGACCCTGACAACAAAGCCAAATCTGCCAAAAGCACCAAGAAGGAGCCCATGTCCGTGTTCCAGGTGAACGGAGAGAAGAAGGAGAAGAAAAGCAAGAAGAAAGGTATGGGGAGAGTGAGAGGGTGGCAGCCAGTCCCCACTGCCCCATGGCATCACCCTGAGCCGACAGCACCCGGTGCCATGTGACAGTGTCCCCTGTGTCCCCCCCAGCCGCCACTGGCAGCGATGAGGAGGATGATTCCGACTCCAGCACCAAACCCATCAGGTCAGAGAAGAAGAAAAACCCGGCATCTCTCTTCCAGACTGGTGGGGACCCCCCCAGGGAGAAGAAAACCAAAAAGAAAGGTCAGAGCCTGGCAGCAGTGATGCGATGGAGGGTGGTGGGTGCTGGAGGGGCTCGTGAGGGTGCGGCTGAGCCTGGCCATGCAGAGGGGAGTTATGACCAATGGTGTTGGCATGGTTCTATGCCGAGTTCGGGGTTCGGTGGAGTCAGGCTCTTCTCCCACCCTGTGCCCCTGCCTGTTCCTGCCTGCAGCTCCTCCCAAAGCAGCCGAGAGCGAGGAGGAGACCCCAGAGACCCCACAGAAAAACTCCAACAAGAAGGGGAAAGGGAAGAAATCAAAGAAGGTACAAAAAACCCTCAGAGCTGTGGGGGTCCCCTCGGGGTGGGGGCAGCAGCTCTTCCCCCCCAGTGTGGGTCAGGCGGCTAGAGCATCCCCCAGGGAGACCCACCGCAGCACCGTCCCCAAAGCCACCAGCTGCAGAACCACAGCCCAGAGGGGTGATCAGGAGCAAAGAGCAATTAGTTGGGAAAGGAGAGGAGCTTTTGGCAGTTTTGGCTTTGGGGTCACCATCCCCTCTCCTGTTGCAGACAAAGGAGGAAAGGCCCCCGTCGCCTGTCATCGAGGTGGACAACCTGGAGGAGTTTGTGCTGCGGCCGGCGCCGCAGGGGGTGACCATCAAGTGCCGGGTGACGCGGGACAAGAAGGGGATGGATCGAGGGCTTTACCCCACCTATTACCTCCACTTGGATAACGACAAGAAGGTGAGATGGGTTGGGGGCTTGGAGACTCCTGGGGCTCTACACCCGCGCCGGGGAGCAACCTCAGGGTTTTGGGGGGATGCCTGCCTGCATCCCACTGTGGTGGTGGGTCCTGGATGAGGCTGCTTCCCCTCTTGGGAAATGCCCCATGTTGATGGTACCTGGGATGAATGATGAGCAAACGTCTGCCAGAGAGCCGTGCTAATGCCAGGCTGGGCTCAGACCCTCCTGCCCCCATGGCTCAGCCAGTATTTTGGGGATTGTCTTCACTCCATCACTTGCGCAAGGCTGTGGCAGTGACCTGTTGGGCCAAGCCTTGCGCAGAGGGGACGGCGGCAGCGATGGCGATGACAATGCCCCATCCCAACGCGGTCCCACCACCCTCCCAGGTGTTCCTCCTCGCCGGGAGGAAGCGTAAGAAGAGCAAAACCTCCAACTACCTCATCTCCATCGACCCCACCGACCTGTCACGGGGGGGAGAGAACTTCATCGGGAAGCTGAGGTAGGAGTGGAGGTAGCACCCTGTTTCAGTGGCACCCCATTCCTGCAGCACCCCATTCCTGCAGCACCCTGCTCCTGCTCCATGGGTTGCTGGCTGCCTCAAGCAATGGCTGGGTCAGGCAAGAGGCTAAATTCGGAGTTCCCCACTGCCGGGTCTGACCCGAGGAGTGTCGGGGGGCCGGGAGGGGAAAACAGGCTTGTCTGGTTCCTCCCGGCAGACAGGTCACAGCTAGAAACGGCGCCTGGCGAGCCCGGCAAGTCCTGGCCCGTTGCACTGCTGGTAGCTGCACAGCTATGCTGGGGGGTCCCCCCTATAACGCCCCAATTTAGGAGTGCCCTGAACCCGAGCAAACAGCTAAAGGGTGGGAAGGACGGTGTTAGCTGGGGGCCGCACGTGGGTTTTGCAGCTGGGGCTGTGCTTGGAGTGGGGGGGACGGGGGGGTTGGAGGGGACTCGGTGGCACCGGCCACGGCCATCTCCCATCCTCGGCTGCAGATCCAACCTGATGGGTACAAAGTTCACGGTGTTCGACAACGGCGCGAACCCTGACAGGGCCAACGCTGACTGGTCCAACGTGCGGCAGGAGCTCTCGGCCGTGGTCTACGTAAGCAGCGGCACAGGGACACCCCCCGCCATGGGGACCTCCTGGGCAGGCGGCGAGGGGGTCCCGACCTGCACCTCTTTGCTGGGCTACTGCCCGGGGGGCTTGCAGAGATGCGGGATGGGCTGGATCCGTCCCTGAGCCCTCGTTCAGCCACCGGTGGGAGGCTGCAGCCCAAGGCGGTTGCTGGTTTTAGGGACGGGGTTTCTCTTGTAGGAGACCAACGTTTTAGGGTTCAAAGGCCCCCGGAAGATGACGGTCATCATCCCCGGGATGAATGCCGACAGTGAGAGGGTGCCCATCCGGCCCCGAAATGTAAGTCAGGGGCCAGACTGGGAGAAACTGCTTGGGGGGCTGGATTTGCTGGGGTTCACCTTGGATTTTACCCATTTTGGGGCATGGAAATGCTTTCAGGTGTCCCTGAAATTCAAGGCACCTCCCTGGGAGGTGGGGGATGTGGCATCTGTATTATTTTGTTCGCGCTGGATCCTATCTCTCAGCTAGATACTGCTACAGTGCATCCCCCTGGGCACGCCATGGGGGGTGGCAAGGCTCCGGGTAGGGTCACCCCAACTCTGCTCTCCCCCCTCTCCCCCTCCCCAGGATAATGACGGCCTCCTGATGCGATGGCAGAACAAAAACATGGACAACGTGATTGAGCTACACAACAAGGCGCCGGTGTGGAACGACGAGACCCAGTCCTACGTCCTCAATTTCCACGGCCGGGTCACCCACGCCTCCGTCAAAAACTTCCAGATCGTGCACGGCAGCGACCGTAAGCTGGGAAGGGGACGGGATGGGGGGGTGACGGTGGAGGAGCACTGCCGTCAGCTGGTCCCAGCAACCCCTTATTTTGCCGAGGTTTAGTTTTTTTCCATGCATGGCTGCTTTGGGGTCCTGCCTGCCTTTGCTGGAGCTGGGATGAAGGTGGACAGGGCGTGCGGCACCGCACAGGCAGCTGCCTGCTGGCCCCGGGTGCCGGCAGAGGGAGCGCGCGGGTCACCTGTTGCCAGGCAGATTAGGGCAAGGACAAATCCTGTGGGGTGCTGAGCCCCCCCCTTATCACACTACAGCCACCCACTCAACCCAGGCCATCCCAGAGCATCGCCTCCAGCACGCACCCCACATCGCCGGCGGGCTCACCCTGGGGTGCGTCGCGCCTCGGGGACGGTCCCTCGGGGGTGGCAGTGGCTCTGTCCCCCCGTGAGCGCCCGGACGCGGCCGTTCGTCACCTGTCCGGCGCAGTCAGAAACCCTCGGCCTCTGGGGTGTTGGGTTACGGGACAGAAAAAACCTCTCGGGGGCCCCTGGTTATTTTTACAGATTTCCTGTCACCCGCCCTCCGGTAGCAGAGGTCCCACGGGGGGGGTGAGTGAGGTCCCTGTCCCTTGGGGGGCTGCGGCTCCCGGGGAAGGGGTGCTGGGGGGTCCGAAGGGTGCCGTGGTCCTGCGCTGGAGCGCGCAATGGGAAAATGACGGTTTTCGGTAACACGCGCTGCGGCACGGTGCCGCCGGCGCACGAACCGTGGGCTGCGCTCGGTGGAAGGCGGGGGCGGCTTCTTTGGGACGCTGCTGCGTGCGTTCCCCTGGGAAAAGGGTGGGATGGGTGCGCGGGTGACATCCCAGCCGCTCGCCCTCTCTCCCGCAGCCGACTACATCGTGATGCAGTTCGGGCGCGTGGCGGACGACGCTTTCACCATGGACTACAACTACCCGCTCTGTGCCGTGCAGGCCTTCGCCATCGCCCTCTCCAGCTTCGACGGGAAGCTGGCCTGCGAGTAGCACCCGTGCCGGGGCCGCATGCTGGGGCTGCGCGCCGGTGCCCGGTGGATGCTCCCGCATCCCCGTCCTGCTCCTGCATCCCCATCCTACCCCTCTGTTTCCACCTTCTGCCTGGTGAATGCTCATGGTTACAGCTGCTCCTGGGGTGGCTCGAGGTGCACGGTGCCCAGAGTGCCGTGGGACGCTCATCCAGCCATGGCCACCCTCTCCGGGCAAATTTGGGACAGATCGTTGGTCTGGGGCAGATGGCAGCGTCAGGCCTGGGGTATATTTAGCAGATGAGGCTGACTGCGATCCCGATCTCATCCCTTTGAGATGTTTCTTGGACTCGGATCCTGGAAACTCATCCTTTTTTTTTTTTTTTTTTTTTTTTTTAGATTCTGGTTTGTATTTTGTTGCTCCATCTCTCAGTGAGAGGGGGGGTTGGTGGTCTCCTTGTTCATGTTTCCTCATCCTATGAGCGCGCACAGAGACCACATGTGGCCGGGCTCTGCCCAAACTCCCGGCAAGGGACCTCCCCCCCGGGTCAATGCCCACTGGGCACCAAACCCTGGGTTTGCCCCATTTTTGCCCTGGCACCAGCAGCCATGTGGTGCCCATGGTGTCTTTGCCCACCTCAGGCTCTCCACCGGTTGGGTCTAACCCCACTGCCTGGAAACCCTTTGGGGATTTAGATCCCCGAGGAGCACCCTGGCACCCAGAGCACTGGTGGCACGTGGGCATGTGCCGAGGGAAGCCGGTGCTGGCGGAGGAGGGCCGGCAGCCACGTGAGGCAAAGCTGGCATCACCGGTACAGGGCCGGGCTGGGTCGGTGCTGCCAAGAGGGACCTGGAAGGGAAAACTCTGGGTGCACCAGGAAGCGCTGGGGTGACTCACAAGGTGTGGTTTGGTGCTGAGTCATGCTCAGTGACCGGACGGGCCTCGCCGAGCCCCCCGTGCCCCCGCCGCTCACCGCCCCGGTGCTCTGCGGCATCCCTCCGGACCCCACCGGGCTGGTGGTCCCACAGAGCCCCGCATGCCCCGGGTGTCCCCGCTGCTGGGACTGGCCCCGCTAGTGCTCCCTGCTGATGGCACAGACCCGTGGGGTGTCACGGGGAGTTCTGGGGGGTCATTGGGAAGGGGAGATGCTGGAGAGGGGCAGCTCGGGGGGACCAGGGTAGCCTGTGCCCCCATTTCCGGCACAAACCCACCTTTGTGGGGTGAGGCTTTGGCTGCACGGACAGGCCCAAATCTGATTAATTCAGTGGTGAGAAATACAGGGACATGCCAAGGTGCTTTGAAACACCGTCTTTGACTTCCCGATAATGCTTCTCACCTGCTCAGCTCATGCAGTGACCCCGGGGGGGGCTGAGACAATTTGGGGTCCCCTTCCCAGGTCACATACAGATCTTTCCCCCATTCAGGGGGTGATTTGAGCCCCCCCAATTTAATGCTGTAATGCTGTGAGAGGTAGCCGGGGCAGACAGGCCGAGGAGCAGGAGACGGATGAGACAGATGCAGTTGTGTAAGAGGGATGCTCATCCTTGCTGGGCACTGTCGCAACACCGCTGCAGCCCGAACCCGTCCCTGCGTGGGGTTGGGGACAGATAACAGTGACAGTGGGACCATGAGCTGGGACCACTGGCAAACATCTGCCCCAGTGGCTTTGCAGACAGAGCCGAGGTTTTCCCGCCAGCTGCACGAATCCAGGCTCCGTGATTCATTGGCAAACGCTCGTGACGGGGGCAGACGGAGGCGAACAGCTCGGGGACAACGGGCCGGCGTGGGACATCGTCCCTTACCCACGCAGTGAGATCAGAGACCTTCTTGTGAGCTAAAGAAAGAACCAGCCACTGCGGTTCGGGGCCAGCATCCCCTGGCTAGGTATGGCCAGCAAATGTGGGGAAAGCGAGAGCTTTCTGCCCAAATCCAGCCACGAACCCAACATCTGTTTGAAATCGGGAAAAGCTCAGCTAACGGTTGAGCTAACGCTTGTTCCCATTTCCTCCAGTGGAAGCAGAAAAGCCAAAGCGGGGTGAGAGAGAGGGGTTTTGGTTCCCCAAGCTCTCACTGGAGCACTGTCTCCCATTATCCCAGCTGCTCCCCAGGGACTTTCTCCCTCCCCTCACCCAAAAAGTCTCCGTGTTGCCCGTTGCTTGCAAACCCCTTGTGATTCCCAGCCTGCAGCCCAAGCGGAGCAAAAAATCTGCCACGGGTATCCAATGCAATGCCACCCCATCCCAGAATACAGTTACCGCATCAGCCACCCACCCCAAATCAGTTAGACAAACCCTCTAACCCAAACCAACTGTGGCACAAGAAACAAATGAAAACAATTTAATAGGGCGATGGATGTTCGGGCCCTTTGTTTGCGCTGGCTGTTAACACCAGAGGAGATGAGGAATGGAAGCAGTTGAAATGTGTATCTACTTTGGCCGACGGAAAGTGTGACGGATGCGCCGGCAGACCAATGGCTGAGGATGCTGGGGTGTGCGTGGGTGTGAAAGGAATGCTCGCTGCAAGAAAAGATTAAAAAAAAAAAAAAGAGAAGGAGCCTTATCAACGGCGTTTGAGCCCAAAGTGTGTGTCTTCCTTGGAGAAGGGGTTTTCTCAGTCCCCAGGGATGATGTTTTCCCCGCAGCATGAGACTTTGAGGCTTCTGAAGCTTCATTTTAGGGGGCTGGTGTTAAGTTGGTGGTGCAGGGATGGATTTAACCCCACAAAGCGCTCACGCAGGGGCACGAGCGTGGCTAGCGGCCGGAGGCGACTGTCAGCAGCTCCTCAAGGGAACCTCCTGGGAAATGCATTTTGGTTTTGCAAAGATGGTTAAAAGGCAAAGGGGAGGAAAAAAAATAAGGTCCCACCTCGATGCTGAGTGCTGCATCCTAGCTAGGACCAATGTCACTGCGGTGCCGGCGGCTCTCACAAGGCAGTACTTACCAGCATCCCCATCCCATGCTGATGAGTGGAAAGATGCTGGTCCAGAGCTGAGGAGGAGGATGGAAGCGTGGGGCTCGCCACCAACCGCTTGCTTCTCCCTCTGCCCCAGACACCCGGGGCTTGGGGGGCTCCACGCACCCAGCCCTGAGCACAGGCTCAGCCCCTGCACTCTTAGTGGGGGGCTGTGGGGTATTTCCATGGGGCTCCAAAAGGCAAATGCCCCATCAGCCGGGCAGCCCGCGGAGGGAGAGGGCTGGCTGCATCCCAGCAGGTTCGGGAGGGGAAGCCAGCGCAGGGAAACTCCTCGCCCGTCAATGGAAGGGCCGGAGCTGTTTGGTTCCCAGCGAGCGCCCTGCCCAGCGGAGAGCATCGCCTCAGCCTCGGGGGCTCTCGCTCCATGCTTTGAAGTGGTGATACATTAATTAATTAAAGGACAGAACGGAATAGGGTGTTTTTTCTCTCCCCTTCCCCTTCCCGTGTGTTTCTTTCGGTGACATTTTTTAGAGGGAAAGGCAGAGTCGTGGCCGGTAAGCTGGGCTGCGGGTTTGCAGGATGGGCTCTTTCTCGGCGCAGCAAGCGACAGGCGGTAATGGGAAAGCCAATATTTTTCAACTGCTTTTAAAAAGAAATCATTTTTTAATTAGTGAATCCATTCTGGAGAAGTGTTGGAGTTTTACAATGTTGTAGCTGTTCTTGGTGTCTTGCCTAGACTTGGATGTTCTGGCCATAAGAAAATATTATTTATGGCGTTGCTGCTTGCAGCTCTTTTATATTATAATTTGGGAAAGGAAGTTGCTGTTCCCACCAGTGGACGAAGAATAGCAGAAACAAGGATTATGGACTTCTGAAGGAGGAGAAAAAATAAAAATTAAGAGGCAGGACTGAAACAAACCACCGAGCCAGGCTCAAATCGCCACACTCTAGAACAAGCTCATCCCTGCATCGCCAGCAGTTGGGTTGGATGCTGTCACCGAGCTGAAGCCTGACCCCTGCACTGCCGGCAGGCCCGGCGCGGCGGTGACCCCCTCGGTACTCCCCTGTGCGGCGTTACATGTGTTCCTAAACATTTGCAGATCAGGCTTTTATTCATGGGCTAATGCACGCTTGTTTGCTCATGCCTTACTCAGCCTAAACTCCTATTGAACTCAATTAAGCCTGTCATCTCCAGGAGCAGTCAATGTCATTTTTGCCCAAGTAAGGGATGAGTAACGAGTGGTCCGAACGGCCCTTAGAGAATAGCAGCCATTTTGTTGCAGTTTTTGGTCCAGATTTCTTACAAGTTAGCACCAGGCCAAGGGTGGAAGAATGCGATATGGTTTTATTAATCACACACGATTGCTGAATGCGCTGGATGCTTCGGAGACTGTCGCTGTAAGGGCTGCAGTGCTGGCTGTCTTGTCCCGAAATGCTTGAATACAACCAAGCTCAGCACGAAAATTAGAAAAATATGTTTCTAGAAGGGATGGGATGCAAAGAGCATCCCTTCTTCAAGCAGGGCACCGGGAGGATCCCTCTCCCCAGTTTATCTCTGTGGGTTTCGGGTACCACGGCGCAGACCCTCGGCGCTTGCCGGACCCTGTGGCTGACGGGGCCGGGGTTTTTGCCGTGTGTTGCCTGTATCGGGGCTGCAGTTCCCAACAGTCGGGCTGGGTCTCGGCCAGGGACTCGCATGCGATCAGCCGACTGTGGCTTAGCACGTTACCACCCATCGGCTCGCTCCGAGGAAATGACCGTGGCCTGGCTCCTGGCTGGGTTCCCTTGGGAAATCTCAACGGCGTGGGCTGAGATCCCCGTCCTGGGTACCGCAGGGTGGGGTGGGTGTCTGGGAAAGAGGGAATCTGCATGCTGGTGGGGTGCAGCAGGCTGAGCAGGGAGGAATGAGGAGGGGGATGACGCTGTTTGGAGGGGATGAGGGTGTGAGGATGGGGATGAGGAGGGGGATGAAGGTGTTTGGAGGGGGATGAGGGTGTGAGGATGGGGTTGAGGACGGGGATGAAGGTGTGAGGATGGGGATGAGGAGGGGGATGAAGGTGTTTGGAGGGGGATGAGGGTATGGGGATGAGGAGGGGAATGAAGATGTT